TTAGATAATATAAACAAAAGCCTAGTTAGATAATATAAACAAAAGCCTAGTTAAATAATCAATAGCTGTTCTCTTAACAAATTGGTTTCTTTATATTTGCAGCGACTGCGAATCCTTCATTTATAAAAATGTTTGGTATAGCCGGGTTCTATTACGATGGGGACTGCAATGACCCTAATGTGCAAGATCAAATAAAACAAAACTACCTTACACTTCTTAATTCCCCATTTGTTCCACCATTCTTCTGCGAGGAGAAACCTGACGAGTGTAATGTCAATACTATTGAAGTCTCATGTGGCGAAAAAACAGCTGCGCAGAGAAGGCGAAGACGAAATTCGGAAAAGGTGGTAAGTATCAGAGGGGTTCTGTAGCCTGTTTCTCGAAAGTCTTGGCGAATTAACGGGCCCAAAACTGTATTTTGGAATCAAACTTTAAAGAATAGAAAAGCAGGTTCTGACACCCTAACCAGTAAATTTTGTTTCTTTAGCTGAAAGTTTTATTGTACAATTTTCAAAACTTTTTCAACCCTTATATTGAATGAAAAGAGAACAGCTTTACAGCCCCGATAAGTTACCGGGGCGTTCGAGAAACGGGCCCCTGATTAGGAGAGTTTAAGGGGGTGATAGTTTGTCCAACATCCTCTATCATTTGACAAACCCTAAAGAAAACTTACCCCCGTGTTTCTTTAAAAAAAATATTTAAGCCTTTCAGACGCCAAGTGGTGCATGGAACATCGACAAGCTTCTCCCTTATCTAATTGGTCAAAGCTGAGGGCTTGCTCCAGTTGTGGTTTTGAGTTTTGCCTCAACTGTCCTTCTCCGAGCAAGATAAATACAAACAAACATGAATTTATATGGTGATATGCAATTATTAGGTGAAGCTGAGCACGATATCCTGAATTATTAAAGCAGAGGTCTGATAATTCCTGATATCATGCGAATAACTAATTAATTAATTTATTGTTTTATCATATATTTCTTAAACAATCTGCAAAAGAAGACACTTCTCCCTGAGTTTGAGAACTCTTCACGGACGAGGGGCTTATTAGGCAGATTTTGAACTCGGCATAATAAACCAATATCTGCTGCAGATATATACAAGTCAACTTCATTCGCTACTGTATATTGATTATGCTCTCTAATGCATAATAATCTGAATTATACACGCAATTTCATTGGCCCTTACTTGTGATCTATTGAAGGAAAGACGAAAAGATGACGTTACGTTGACTGAATGTTGTTGTTGTTGTTTTTATCATGTAAAATAAATAGATTCTATGTTGCTCTGGTTTGTAAAGTAAAAGATCACCAAATAAGTCAGATGTAGTTAACGTTAGAACATCGGTGACACACTCGGCTGCGTCTCGTGTGCTACGTTTAGTTTTTTGTGCGATATTTTGAAGTCATCTTTGGTCTATTACTGGAAAGACGCCGGGCAACATGGAATCTACTTGTTAAAGAAACATGTGCACATAGCTATTTATAACAAAGCTTTACAAAAGCGCGTCTTCTGATTGGCTAAAACACTCGATCCATTTGCCCGTGGGTTGCATGCTGATGCCAGTTTTTATTTTTCATCACGAAACGAAAGATGTTTGAAAGTCTAAATGTTAAAAAGAAATGTGCAGTTTGCAATCATCGAAACTCCCAAGTGCATCCATAACTCAATGATTGCGCGCTGCACGCTAACCATTTCTTAAACATTCATACGTACGTACGTACATTCGTAATACTTACGTACATACGTATGCACATCCATGCTTTATTGTATAGGGGTTCTCTAGTGCTATACAAAAATTGGAAGACTGGTCAATTTGAATCCGTGTCCTCCAGATTTTTAAATCCAACTCCCGCCCCCACGCGGCTATTCTGAGTCTCACACTTGAAAGTAATTCTATTATTTTTGTCTACTCAAGGTAAATATCAAATATATATACGTTGACAAGAATACTGGGCTTACACCAGGGACTAATGACCAAAAAGGTCAGGATGATTTCAATGCACAGAAAACTAAGACTGAGGGGGACAGGACTCAAGTTCTGGACGGGATCAAGAAAGTCAACTGGGTGGAATACAAGGCAAACTCTGGTTTAGAGTTGATCGACTACAACGTCGATAACTTTAATCTCGGACATCCGGAAGCTTTTTGCTCAGAAGACGGTGCTGTGGTAAAGAAGTGTACCGCAGCCAGCTGTTTTGCTCCACCTTGTAAATGTGCCGAAGACACGGGAGATGTCACGAAGTGCAGTAAGTAAACTAATACGTTTTTGAGTACGAGAAGTTCTTTGATAACATCATGGTGCTACCAGAACAATCCAGCTCGGCTGTTCCTGTTCAGCAAAAGAACAATTCTTGAGTAATTGGAGGCCATTTATCCCGGGATTTAGGGATCATTCATCTACCAGGGGAGGGGGGAGGGGAACGAGGTTCGAAGGACTCTTGGGGATGATCACAGATCACATGGTTTTTTAGTAAGAACACTGGTCAACTTTTGTTAAATTGTTAATTTGCAAACTACTCGAAACTTAGACACTAACGAGGTGTCAACGGGGTTTCTTGGGAGGACTCTCTGACTCAGATCCATTTAAAATAGCAATATGGGAGTATTTTTCCAGCAATCTTCGCAGATAGTGAATATCCCTCAAATTTTCGCAATTAAAAAGGATCAAGAAAAGACTTTAGCGAGTAGCACCTAAAGTCAACCGTTAAGCAACGAGCAGTACCTCCTTCTTCGCGTTGTCCACCTCGCGGTGAAAAAAATTAGCGAAGAACTAGTGATGTTAATGTGCTACGCGGAATCTTACTTTTAGTGCGCCTTACTCCAAGAGTCCCGCTCGCGTGTTAATTTAATTTTTTTCTTCACTGAATTTTTTATTGCCCCGCAAGATGGACTTAGTTGAAGACGACAGAATGCTTGTACTCTAGTCGATCGCTGTATACATAAATTCAATCATAAATTCTCAGTTTCTCTCCAGTCTTAAACCTAAGATAATTTGGAAATGCTAAGTGATTATGTTTTTTTCTAACAGCACGTTGTCCCATTGGAACATACTACAATGTTAACAAAGATGACTGTCTTTTGTGCCCTGAGGGTCAATACAGCCCTAATGAGGGTGCCCTGGCATGCGAAAAATGCCCTGAGGGGACTTGGACACAGGGTACCAGGAAAGAAAACTTTACAGCTTGCACAGGTAATGAACATTGTTTCTTGTTTCTTCCTTGTGAGTGAAAGAGTCTCTGTGTTGAGGAATAGAGAAATAACAAATAGACAGCTTAGAGATGCTCACAAAGCTTTCTATTTCTTTTTAATGTGTTCTTGGATGGTTCTTTGCATCATGCAATTCCTAAATCAGCGCTGGTTTACTTAAATGTCATTTCTCGACGATAATGATATGGCATAGCTACATCCTCCTGAACACCCTCTTAATTTTAGCTTCATGTGCCCGTCTATAACTGAAAAAAAGGGATTTTGGTAAGACGACTTTATTTATTGTTCAATTGCAACCACAAAATCAAGTTTCATATTTCTACAAAATTTTATAAAATTGCTGAGGTCAGGTTAGGAAAAATTTAGGTGGTTCCAAAATATTTTTCAATGCCCTTTTTTCTAAAGTTTTACTTCCTCGAGAATTCAGCGTTTACTTTTGATTTATTTATCTGTATTTGAACATTACAGATGAATGTGGCCCAGGATTCTTTTCTTCAACTGGCGTAGCCAAATGTTTCGAATGTCCCACTGGAACGTACTCATCAGATCAACGTAACAAAGTTTGTACACAGTGTCCTTTAGGTACAACGACTGTCAAGGCTGCTGCTAAAGGAATTCATGACTGTGGAAGTTAGTATATTTCTCTCTCAATTGCATATTGCCAGTAAGAGCATTTTAACTGCTTAATTGAAAACCTTCCTCACGCAAAGTCAAGGCTGTAAATAATAAATCTTTGTAGGTTTATCGATTGTCTTCTTCACCTCCCAATAAATACGCAAAAGGGAGCTGCAGTGAGTGTGGAAAAAAAATTGGAAATGGCAAAGCCTTACTATTTGTTCTCAACTCTTAAAAAACTCTACCATTTTACAAGATCCATTGCCCTTCGAAGGCTTGGATAATCAGAAGTCCATTATATCTCAGTTAATTTGCAAAAAAAAAAAATTCAAAACAATATCCTTAACGGATACTTTAATATTTATTTTCACACAGTGGAATGTGCTCCAGGAACCTACTCAGACAATGGTGTAGAGCCTTGTTTACCTTGTCCACAGGGTACCTATCAACCAAATTCTGGCCAAACGACATGCCTGCCTTGTCCTGGACAAGAATCTACACATGGAACTGGGGCGAGCTCTCAAGCGTACTGTGGAGGTATGAAAATGTTTTATTTATCATTGTTATTACTTTGGGTAACCCTTGTTATTGGTGTTTGAAATGATCGAATTTGCTCTTTTATCATGTTTATATATATATATATATATATATATGCACATATTGTTATCCTTAAATATTTTTAAGCAGGGCCCCGAATATTATGAATAAATAAATGAATCAATTGAGCAGAAAGTTGCTTGGTGTCATGTGCACGTGATCAAAGGACCTTTCTAAATGTTAAGTGTGGGATCACGTTTCTTGTCACGAAGTCACGAGATTTACTTTTATAGCGCGAACAAGATGTCGCGCTGATCAACTGTTTCTAGATTTGTCTATTCGAAAAACATTGGAAAAAAAGGGGGTTTACCACGTGACATGAAGTTGCTCATTAAAAAACAGAAAACCATGCAATAAGCCAAGAAACAAACCAAACTACGTGAGCAAAACGAAAACATTTTTAACTGACCATCAGCCTAATTTATTTCCTCAGCATGTTCTTCTATCTTAAGTAATACTGACTAAGTGATACTGATAATGATAACTGTAATCAAAGCCTCATCACGAGGCTTCGATTACAGTTATTACCGGGTATTTCTCGAAATGGCTTTTATAAAAGAATGTATTTCAATTAGAAACTTTTCCCCCTGTATACCGGTTCAGTCATGAGGATATTCAAAATGTTTGTTGGTCAACTTCATAAATTCAATGTGTAATTCTCTTTCAGAGGTTAACACTTGTATTTCGAGTCCCTGCAGCAATGGTGGAAAGTGTGTGAACACGAAAGAATCATATCGATGTGAATGTCTACCTGGCTACCAAGGGAAGAACTGCGAGACAGAAATTAATGAATGCCTCGCGACACCATGTTACGCCTCCTCTACTTGCGTCGACAAGGTATGCTTTAGAACGAAAACTTAGTCATCACCTTTTTAAACAGTAGCACCAACTAGGCGCGAAAATAGGCGCGGATTTTTGTTCGCGGACACGATCTGTTTCGAAAAGTGAGCAGTTTTTCGGGAGCCAAGAGGTTCTTATGGTCGTATTTTTTAACAAATAAATGTATTTTCTTTTGTGACAACGGTAATCGCTGTCTTCCTCTACACGTAATAAACAATCTACCTGACCATTTATATGCATTGTGCAATACATGCATGATCGTGAATCATATATCAAACAAGTTGCATTGTTCAATTTTCATAGATTGGTGCATTTGCATGTCTTTGTCCTCCGGAATACACCGGAATAGAATGTGAACTACCGTTTCTCCTCTGCACACGAGGATACTGTCAAAACGGAGCAAAGTGTATCGATAAAGCGGGAACATTCGATTGCCAGTGTCAACAAGGGTACAGTGGAAGATACTGTGAGGTGAATATCGATGAATGCGCGTCAAATCCGTGCCAAAACAACGGTGTGTGCATTAGTGGTTTAGACAACTACATGTGCAAGTGCCAACAAGGATACAGTGGTAAGAACTGCCAGATAAATAATGATGACTGCGCCGGCGATCCCTGCCAGAATAACGGGGTCTGCGTGGATGGCATTCAATCATACAGCTGTACATGCCCAGCTGGGTACTCTGGGAAAAACTGCGAAGTAGCCATCGATCATTGCGTTGGACAGCCCTGTGCTAATGGTGGCACTTGCACGAATACGCCAACAGGTTACAAATGTAGCTGTATGCCCTCATATTACGGATGTCGCTGCACTAAAGGTAGGGCGCAAATTTTTTTCCATAAGCAAAGGCACTGATAAATAGCTGTCCATTGATACTCCACTCGAGGAACGAACAGTTCCTTCAGAGTTACCGTTTGAACGCTTTACTTTGCTCTGTGATTGGTCAAGAATGGTCGCACCACTTTCTCAACCAATCAGATACAAAACTACAACTAATCACGACTTAATCGCCTGCGTTTTCCGCGCTTTTGGAAGTTAGATTGTTTTTATTTTTATTTCACATTTGCCCTTACATATAGAGGATTTTTTTTTCGCCGATGTGACTACTTACCCTACTTTGGTCTTGCGTTTTACGACACTCAATCGAAAAGCGCTCCATTGTAACTAATCCTGTTGTTTTGTTTCCACAGTGCTCTCCACCGACTACGACTTGTCTTTTCAAGTGCGACAAGCCAAGTCCTATTCTCGGCTTAAAAAGCAAGTTTCAGACATTAGCGCTCTAACCATCTCATTTTGGATGCGTACCAAAGACACAAACCCGGGTACAGTACTTTCCTATGCCACAACAGTGAACAACGTCTTACAGGACAATGCACTTACCCTACAAGACTACGCTGGGTTTAATCTATTTGTTAATAACAAAACTGTTTTCACGGGCGTGAAGGCAATTGACGGACAGTGGCATCATGTGGCAGTCACATGGGAAAGCTCTGGAGGTACGTGGCACTCATACAAAGACGGCGTTAAAGTGAAGAGCTCTACTGAAGCCTTTCAGCAAGGTGAAATAATAAAGGGCGGAGGCGTCTTGATTCTTGGTCAAGAACAAGATGAACTTGGGGGCGGCTTTAACACCGAAGAAAACTTCATCGGCGATGTAAGTCAGATGCACATATTTGACAACGTCCTGTCCGCTACAGACATTTATAATCTGGCATACAGTTGTGATCATGTCAAAGGAAATGTTGCATCTTGGGGTGACTTCAGAGAACAGCTAGATGGAGAGTATCATGTGACTGACAAGTCATACGCTTGTGACTGTGAGTATTATGTTGGCCTATATCCTTTCTTTCAATATCTGTGGTCCACGACTATAGTTTAAAAAAACCTATGATGCCGTCGAGGGACAGTTTAACGAGTGCAAAATTTGCTTGTGTCAAACCTTAGTCAGCCCAATGACGACTGCGGCTTGAGAGGCTTAAGATTATTCAGTTACATACTTTCACTGACCCAATAGTTCGCGCGGTGAAATCCTAGTCAGGAAGTTTAGGTTCAAGCCCTGATTAGGTCACTGTGTTGTATTCTCAGGTGGGGGCAAGGAGCTTGACTCCCACAATGCCTCACTCCAACCAGGATTATGAATGAGTAGCTGCAAATTGTCAAGGAGATGAGGAAATAATAACTTTCATTGTTGCTTCGTGTTACGAAAACTGGGATAATCTCTGACGACGTAGGCAGAGGGCTCGAGGGTAGTCGTACTTACCATGCGTTGTTCATGAGTTGAAAACGAGCAGGCTGTGATTTTATGCAAGTCTTATGAAAAATGATTCATTGCTAAACGGCTTACTGAGAAATTGTCTTCTCAATCTCTTTCAGTCAACGCTGCTCAGAGACAATTCTTCCTGACGTACAACTCATATATATCTGGAAGCGACGATAAAGTGGTGCAGAATACCTCCCCGGAAGCCTGCGCTTCGTCTTGTCGGTCGGAAGCTTCGTTCATCTGTCGATCCTTTGAGTTTGACAACTCAACCAACCGATGTGCCATGAGCAGCAAGTCGTCTTATAACACTGGACTGGCGAGTGCATCAAATTATCGATTCTTTGAGCTAAGTAAGTGCACATCACTAGCAGCTCTTATATATTCTTTATGATTCAATAGTGGTGTGTATTTTGAGGCTTTCTGTTAGTGTCACCAATAGTATTGCTGGGTAGCTTTTTGTGTTATGCTGTGGGCTTTATCAGGTAGCAGTCTTTTTACCATTCATGAGTAAAGGGGGTAAATTTCTAAAGGAAAATGAAAATTATCTTTCAAATCGGCCCTTTATCCCCAGAGTTTTAACGAACGCTTTTCACTCAACTAATATATTTTTGTTTTTCTTGTTGCCATGTCCTCACCAATAGCGTAGCTCCATTTTCTGCATATAACAAAGGCACGCACAACCTGTAATTCCTCAATTCACTCTGACGAAGGGCTAACGCTCGAAACTTTAGCTTTAGAAACTCTTTATAGCGGCAAATTTACATTGTCAACTCATTTGATTTAACCAAATTACTTTGTACCATTCAGTTTTTTGATCGCATCATCAAACAGAATATAGACACTATTATCATTGGGGCATCCTTTACTCACAATTTATCATTGCTAGTATCTATGAATACTTTTAGGGATAACTAGAGCATTTGTTATGAATGCAATTTAATCAACTCGTAGTCTGAAGTAATACGGCAAACAGTATTAATAACATCACTGAGTTTTACTATGATGTTGCAGGGGCAACCTTTCGTACGAAACACCTCAAGGAAGGAGAGAGTGCTGTTAGTCTTTAATATTTGTCTCTTCTTCTTGCAGACTTCCTAAGAAATCTTCCTTCCCCTTGTAGACTGCCTTAACAGTCTTTCTTTCTTCTTGCAGATTGCCTTAAGAGTCTTGGTGTAGGAGCTAAAAGTCGCATCCCTGACTCTGATATGTCAGCATCATCGCAGTATGCCGCAACCCACGCCGCGAAATTTGGTCGCCTAAATGCACAAACTCAGCAAAATTCAGCAGGACAGGTAGAGGAGAACGGAGGCTGGGCTGCTTCAACCAACAATGCTAACCAGTATCTCCAAATCAAGTTTAGCGAGGTCTTCCAGATTTCTGGGGTGATAACTCAGGGAGCAAGCGACGCTGACCAGTGGGTGACGAAGTATAGACTTGAGTATAGCAGCGACGGAGCATCTTGGACTTACTATCCTGATGTAAGTAAGAATGACTCGTTTGGCGACAAGGAATCAAATCTTTATTCGATTATGAAGGGGCTAATCGATAGCCGTAAAACGGCCAAAAAATTCAGCCGTAAGACGTAAAAATTGACCAAAATTGACCAAAGTTCTAGGGATAACAATGGAACGATATTAACCGTTAGCCGTATAAGCCATCACCTTATAGAGAAGTAATTAACAGAGGTGGTGCTTGCGCAGTTTCTCCTTATGATTTCAATATATTGACCATCAAACGGGTGATAACAACAACGAGTGTTAATATTATAACACACCAATTCATTTCGTGTGTTTTATAAAGAAATTCATGGCAGTCTGGTTAAGACTTTCAAAGAGGACCTCAAGAACTACGGGATTGCAAAAGTTGAAACAAGATTGAAAATCGTGTCATTCAAGAGGGATGTAAATTAAGTGAAAAAGTAATCCTCGATAGCGAGCTGAAATTTTTTAAGCAATTTCAGGAAAAAAAGTAGGTTGAAAATATTCAAGCTACGAAGGTTTTCCAGCCGTTACCCACAAATTACTAGAAAACGAGGAGGAAGAGATAAAAAATTTGAAAAAAGAAAACCGAGGAGGCGAGCAGTTTCCACCAGTGCTAAACTGGGAGGGAAAGATCAAGTCAATTTTTAGTAAAAACATAAACAAAACACACTTGGCAAAACAACAACAACAACAGCAAAAATATTAGAAAAAAATAGAAACAAATAAATAAACAATATTGAAAAATTAAGAAGAAATAGTTAAGACATTGAGCATTATCTGTTCTTCCTCTTAAATATGAACACATTGAAATCTTTCAGACTCTTAATGGCAACAGTGACCGCAATACTGAGGTCCGCAATGAAGTCAGATTGTTTCAAGCCATGTATCTTCGATTCAGACCCCAAGAATGGCATGGCCATATAACGATGAGAGTCGATGTGAATGGTTGTCCATTGCGTAAGTGCAAATATTTGAATTTTTTTCGTTACTGAGGTGTTCATTACATCATTCTTACCAAATGTGTCAACGGGAATATGGAGCCCACGTCTTAACTTTAGAAAAAAACAACCTTCTGCCAATAACGTGAAACAAACAGCTAGATTTAACATAGATATAACTTTAATATAACCTTGCTGTGTTGTGGAATAGTTATTTCTCTATGTACAGGTTTTCCACTTTCTATTCAATGTGAATTCCTCTATGATTTATATCATATCTGATGAAATATTTGTGGGACGGGGCTTACTTTGTGGCATGACTCGGTCACTCCAATTTTATTCATAGTTCACTACCGACTTACTACAGGAATAAATGGTCTATCATGTCACCTGTCATATTTGGATGATGCCAAGAATAAAAATACTAATACTAATGTTAATGATCATAATAATGATGATGCTTATGATGATTATCTTAACGATAATAATAAGTGTTATTATATAATCTATCAAAAACAAAAATATATTATTTACTCGAGCGAGGCGAATACTTTAACATTACAAGAGTGATGATTCGCTACAAAGTAGAAAAAAACGCTCAGTGGAAGAAGAAAATTATAAAAAAGATGCTTGTATGGCATTTTAGAACAACATTGCAGGATCATAAACGTGATCGCTTGTGAATCAGAGAAAAAACTTTAAGACAAGAATTGTACATTTTTTTCTCCGAAGCTGTCGCCAAACCAGTAGATAACACGGATGAATGCAGCAACTCACCTTGTAAGAATGGAGCAGCGTGTGTTAACAGATATAATGACTACCTCTGTATGTGCCCCGGTGGCTTTACCGGAAAGAACTGCGATACAGGTGAGCAACCGCTGATATACAGTCTGGGGAAAGGACGATAGAGTTAACCACGGATAATCGACGTAATAAACGAGACCAGCTTAACAGATACTCAGGCATACCGAGAAATACAGACTGACAACACTCGGGTTGGATATGCATCATAAAATAGAGGAGGGACAAAGGAAACACATAGGCAGCTAAAGAAAGTAAGGCAAACAAGACAAGAAGCCGTTCTGCAGATATATGATTGGTAAAGCGAAAATTCAGGGAACGAAGAGGCACATAGACAAACCGAGAGTCATACAGACGACATACAGATAGATTCACTCAGATGGGCAACAAAACAAAGCTTACATGCAATCAGGGTAGAAAAAAAAGACAGACTTCCTTACACGTATAGACACGCAATTGCATGAAAGATGAAGAAGAATAGAGCAAATAAATAACCAATGGAATAAAACTGTGAGTTGTTGACACGTGGGACAGCCTAGCAAAGGAATCACCAGTGTCGTAAAGATGTTACTTGTTTTAATAATGAGAGCTTACCTTGAATTTATTTCTGTTTAGCGACCAACTGTAGACCAATCGGTGCACCACTTTACGGCTCAAAGTCTGGTTCCAATTACAACGCAGGAAGCACAATCACATTTACTTGTAACGCTGGTTATACCATGCGGGGATCTTCGTCCAGAACGTGCCAGGGAGGAGGATGGACTGGGTCCCACCCAAGATGTCCGGGTATGTATCATCAGCTTTTTGAGCATGATCGGTTTCGACATTTTCCCGCCATTTTTCAGGTACCTTTTACTCAGGGCCATAAAATAAGTTAGGAGAATTTGCTGCCTTTGGTCTGTTATCCGCAAATGGTTCGGCATTCTAGTCTTCTTGGATGAATAGGACGTTAAACTGTAGGTCCCATCTCCTGCATCTTCTCCGTACCGGTTCGCAAGGGACGTGTGAGATCCCACTCACTTCTCGTAAAAAGGGGAACGTAGAGTCACTCTGTTAAATATCACAAATGAATGAACACATTTTGTGACTTGGATAAAAAATTTTTCTTTTTAATATCCATGTATAACCTTCGAAATAGCACAAAACTTAAAAAGTGACACAAAATATAATGGTAACGAAAAATGTAACTACTTTCCTATTGGACAATGTGATTAGTGGTTACACAACATGTACTGATAAAAGCCACGCTAAATGTAATGACGCAAAATATAATAACCTTTTCACAAATCTCTCCCTGATCATTTCAAATTTTATTGATGTAACTGACTTAATTTCTTCCTTCTCAGATACGGATGAGTGTGCCAATAATCCTTGTAACCAGTTTTGCACAAACACTAACGGTGGATACGTCTGCCATTGTCATAAAGGATATGAGCTTCAAGGAAATACCAACTGTGTTGGTAGGATAAGAGATGACATTTATCGCATCCTTAAATATGCATTTCTCTTTATATTTTCTTTAACCGGATATTCAAACAACGACACAACTTGGCTTTGAGTTTTAGAAACCACAGAGCTCTCAAATTTACAAGTCTAATTATCAGCTGCTTGGGCGTGGAAAGAAAAAGCAGCAACAACTATTACTTCGATCTCAGCTACTTCGACTTGTCAGTAGAGAGATTACTCAAGACTGTCAATGAAGATGAATTGCATGAATTTTTCTGAGCGAGTTTGACAAGTAAACATTAAAAAACACGAAACTGACAGAACCAATTCAGGGCTAAGAACTTTTCATCTTGTGATTGTTTATGTTCTCGTTATGTTCGTTTTCCAGATATTAACGAATGCTCAACTGAGAACGGAGGCTGTTCCCACTCTTGTCACAACTCTGCTGGTGCATTCTCATGTTCCTGTCCAACCGGGCTCGCACTGGATTCTGGTAAAAGAAGCTGTCAGGGTAAGATTTTATAAATATATGCTATGATTAATTTGACGAAAGGATAACTGATATGCTTCTTTCTGCATACTAACTGTATTCAAATTAACTAAGAGATGAGAGAAAGAGAGAAGGCCATAAATTTTCTAATCAATATTGCAACTAAGCACGTTGACTTTCAGTGGTCAATCCTCGCATTCCTTGAAAAATTTGCTGTTCTGTTGTTTTAACGATGGAAGAGGTAGTCGATGGAAGAGGTAGCCGTTGTTTCCTGGATTTTTTTGCAGTATAAAAATAGTTTACATTTTAATTGATTTATCGATATTTTTTCGATATCAAAAGACCTAAGTAGTGAAAATGACCTTGGCAACTACGACTTAGAAGTAAGTAAATCATCATGGTGAGTAACATTCATGAGTCAAGAGAAAGAGAACAATAACCATGACGCCATTAATACCTCTGATACCAATTACAGTAGTCGTGGTCCTCACGCCATCTCATTGTTCACTTTCAGATGTCGACGAGTGTGCTACTAACAATGGTGGCTGTGAACATTCTTGCGTCAACACATACCAGTCCTTCACCTGTGTTTGCAGACAGGGATACACTTTGGGCGGGGATAAAAAGACCTGCCAAGGTAACTGAATGCGGGTATGATTCGGTAATGCGAGCTTTCAGTGAAACGCTTGAGTAAACGCTCCGTTAAGGTAATAATATGATTTCGAGTGAGTGCAATTTTGTGTTAATAAGCTCGAGTATATTTTTTAAAGACAACAAAATTGCAACGAGAAAGTCAAGAAAGACGAAATTTTGAAAGCCTGCGCGCTATTTGTAATTTGCACTTGTGTTACAACTTTGTACTCGTATTACTTGCGAATGCACACGTTTTCAGCCAATCAGACGGGAGTAATTTTTTTCAAGTACATTATTCACACATTCACATCAGTAATATTTTCTATAGATTTCTTATGGTGCCAACAGTGAGAATTCATTTAACATTCACAAGCCTTTTTAGTCGGTGATCATTTCCTTTATTCTCATGACCTCAATTTATGATTCAGGGGGGATCCTGTAAGGAGAAGTTAGATGCTAGTCACCCTTAGAAGTTGGAGGATTAAAAAGTGATTGAACAGTTTTATAAAAAGCGAGAAAATCAATTACTGTCACTTTGAAACGTGTTGTCCATTTTCTTACGCAAAAATTCCGTTTGAGAACACTTGGAACCTGACCCATTTAATATGACATTTAATATGATGATAACACACGTTATAAAATTAAAAGCTTGCTCACTTTCGAAACGGTTGCAGTAAAATCACCATCATGATGTGATTGCATTAATCTTACTCAACCTTCAGTTCGGATCACCATCTACCAATCATATAATCATCATGTTGCATGTTGTTCTGTCATCTTTGTAGCAATTTCATGTCCCAGTTTAAGCAACCCTGGCAACGGAAACGTGGCACTGAGTTCGGGGCTTGTTTTGGGAAGCACCGCAACGTACACTTGCAATAATGGCTACCGAGGCTCATACGGAAGCTCAAAATACTACTGCCAGGCAGATGGGCAATGGTCGGGTAAAATACCTACCTGCACACGTAAGTGTATCAGACACTGTAAAATTGAAAGGTGACAAAGTTTTAAAACGTTACAATTGATGCCAAACTTTTTTTCAAGAATATATTACTCATTATAAGCTGATCAAGACTCCAAAATTATAACCTGACTAAAAGCACGTGCACGACATTGCCAACCTGGCCAGAAGCACCAGCATGACATTGCCAACCTGAACGGAAGCACGTGCACGACTTTGCCAACCTGACCAGAAGCACGTGCATGACTTTGCCAACCTGACCAAAAGCACGTGCATGACATTGCCAACCTGACCAGAATCACGTGTATGACATTGCCTCTTAATTATAACTCTTAATACCTATAGAACGGCATTAACAGAGGACTGCAAAAATACATGCAGTAAAGGATCCAGGATTTATTTATCGGAGGGTGATTCAGAATCTTTTCTAAAACAAAGCCTAGATAAGCTGAGACATCTTTCTAGGAAAATAATTTTAGATACTTCAAATTAAGCAGTTTCTTGTAGTACGGCCCTGCAGGAATTGTGGCCCCTAGGTCTAATGGAGGAAGGGGGAGAGTTTGGTTCCGGAGTACCCTTGGGTCCGTCTCCCACATGTACAGGGAGAGTAGCCACACTCACGACTTGCTTCATGGAAACCATCATGGCTTGAACAATAATGCTTAATTCAAGTTTCTTGTAAACATTTTTTTATTCAATCCCACAAAGACTGAAAGAGTTGTACCAAAACAAATGAATTTCCTTTTGTCACTGAAGGTGTCCAGTGTGCAGAAATCGGAGAGGTAGAGAACGCCAATCCAGTTGCTTTAACTGGGCAAGATGGCGGAAAAAATGTTCTTAATACCAAGGCAACCTTCTCTTGTAAAGCAAACTACGCTATGGTGGGTGATGCAGTCAGGACGTGTCAGCAAGACGGAACATGGAGTGGAACTCAACCCAGATGTATCGGTAGGTTGCACTCGCGCTCTTTTAGCTAATGTAAAAATTCTTAGTTTGGAAAGGAGTGCAGTGAGCAGAGTGCTCGCTTCCCACCACTGTGCTCCGGGTGCCATTACCGGACCTGGCGTCACATGTGGCCTGAGCTTGTTGCTGGCTATTTTCGTCCTTGCTCGAAGGATTTTTTTCCGGGCCCTCCGGAAAACAACATTCCAAATTCTAATTCGACTTAGAACCTGGCCTTAGGGCAAGTAAGAAATAAATTTCGTGCAACAGATGTCTTGAAAAGGTTTTCAGAGTACGCACCAGACTCTGCCCAAAAGATGTTGAGTTCACTTCGATTACAAATTCGTCGGCAATTTTTGCTTTCGTTCAGTGTGCCCTGTTTTAGTTTTCTTCGAGTTGCACTCGTTTACCATTCCATCCATGTCTTTTAACATTAGTTAATCGTTGTCAGCTAACTTCTTTAAAAACCCCTCGATGATTTATATCAGACGAATGCCGCACTCAGTTGATATATATAATATTTGCTCAACTGAATAAGAAGGGTTACTGACGCTAATCTCTCTATCACAGCCGCTTTCTGTAGTCCAGTACCAGTCCCTGCTAATGGCGCAGTTCAAGGTTATCGGTATGAACTGGGTGCTACTCTTCGCATCACTTGCAACGAGGGCTACAATATGGTTCCAGCAAGCTCTGCATTCAGGACTTGCATCGCAGATGGCAAAGGAGGAGGAAAATGGTCAGAGACAGATCCTGTCTGCGAATGTAAGGGCTTTATGACAAGTACCTGTTAACTGAAAAGGAGGGCCGGACGGGAAAATTTTGGGCTCGAGGTGATGACGTACTGACCGAGTATCTAAAATTTTCCTTTCTGCTCCTCTCAGTCGGTCAACATACATCTTATCATCTGACCACCGCCATTCTCTTTCTTCCTCGTTCCTTTTTGTCGCATCTGCTGGGCCATGCGGCTTTTTCCAGCCCTGCACATGCCATCGTGCTCGGCCCTCAGAAGTGGAACTTTAATTTTTTTTTTTTAATTGAAAACGCGCGTGGGACTTAATTGGCTGTTTGCAGCCTTGTCGGACTTATATGTGAATTCCGCATGGTTATATGTAACCCGTAAATCTATCACCATGATAAATGTCCAAAATCTTCTGCGGAGGAACCGAGTACATCTACATATAACATTTGTATGGAACAGTACAAGAAAAACACGAACGCCAATAAAAAGTGATGTGGAACATTCTGATTGTTAGATAATATTCTCAGTGTACTCTTGCGACAAGTTTCGTATCATATTTTATGAGCTGAATGGGAGTAGTCGGCCAATCAGAAAGCGGACTTTCAAAAAGCCTCCTTTTATCAGCTTGATGTACGTCCAGTTTTATTTTTGCAGAAGAACCGAGTGCATATGCATTTACATGCATCATTTCTATGGTACAGTATAATAAAAGGGTGTAATTCAAATTATCTTTTGCTCTCTCTTCCAAATCTAGTGGTAGACTGTGGTGACCCAGGCGACCCTTACGGCGGATACCGTCATCTAGCAACTGACACTAAGTACCAGGCCAAAGTGACATACACCTGCAAAGCAGACCATCATTTGGAGGGAGATGAAAGCCAAACGTGTCAGGCTGACGGACAATGGAGTGGAACAAAACCTGTTTGCTTAGGTATGCACAGTTGACTTAATAAAATATTTCTCATGACAAGTTTGCGATGGGCAACTTTTTCTCAGTACCAAACAAAAAAAAATATTGATTTCCTACTCGGGACGTTTCGTTTTGTGCCGAAAAAAGCATTTCTGATTTCCTCCGTGGAATCTCCTCGAAAAGATTACCACATATTCCAACTATAGTGCCGTCCATCTAAAGACATCTTTTTGTGTGAACAACTTCAAAAATGAATGAGCAACAATTCTGTGTGATAACGGGTACTACAAAAGAATCCACAAATTACCTTGGTCTTCCTGTTGTAATAACAAGGCCAATAGGCCAACTGACAGACGTGTACTTAGCTGCCAAGCCTTTGATTTGGAGTGAGGCTGAAAGTGACCTTGTTGTGATAGAGACCAGTGTCTAGTTAGCATGATAACAGAGAGATTTACATTTGAAAAGCAGCAAGGTTTGTATCATAACAAGGTCACCCTTAGCCTCACTCCTGTTCAAAGGTATGACAACCAAGCACACAACGGTAAAATGGACTATTATGGTGGACCGATGGTGAATCGTTTGACTAAAAGAACTTATTCCACTTTCACACCAACAAAACATGTTTAGATAAACCAGGTTGAACTGAATGAAAGTCAGAGACAGTGGACTGAATTTTTGACTGAATGAGACTGAATTTTTCATAAGATTCAAGTGGTCACTAGCTCGTACTCTCAATGTGCTAAATTTGAAGTCGAAAAACTTAAAAAAGTTTTAAAAACAGTGTTTAAAACAAGTGTTTAAAGAGTGTTTAACAAACGACATTAAAAACGTGTTTAATTTTTTTTATGAATGATGTATTCCTTGGGCTTGATAAATACACTAACAACACATTTTCTACATTAAAATCTTTTGTCGATATCACTCAAAGAGCGATCCTGTGGTAACCCTGGTACTCCTACAAATGGAAAGAAGGATTCCACCAATTACAAGTATGGGTCTGTCATCAATTTCAGCTGTGATGTCGGTTACAATTTAGTGGGATCTCAAACTCGGACGTGTCAGACAAATGGAAAATGGACTGGAACACAGCCTACATGCCCAAGTAAACGAACTGACCCTTTTTATATTCATTTTTTGCAAGAGCTTATGAATAGGAAGTTTTGTTTCAAGGGTGTGGCCAGGGGGTCCTGGGGTGCTCGTAACAACCCTCCCCCTTTGTGAGCCTTTCTTTGTGACATTGGGTAAAACACAGCGTGGAGGTCGACACGAGAATCTGGTGAACACCTGTTGGGATCCCCCTTTGAAAAATCCCGGCTACGCTCCCGTGTTTCCATTTGCTTCTTGAGTCAACCCTTTCCCAATAGCAGCTTTTAAAAAACATTGGTTCAAAATAGAGCGTGTGCGGTAATGACAAACTTTGAAATAAGATTAACACTGTAGCACAAATTGTTTCTTGGTGCTCAAACGTGCTGAGGCCGTGGAAACACTCTCTTAATTCCTGCGAACCTGCGTGTAGGTCGCGCGAAACTGCGTGAAAGGGATTTTGGGACATTAAGACGCGATTGTCATACGAGATGATGAACGTATCAATCAGTTAGCCTCTTGTATCTCTCCTTACAGCCCCTCGTTAAATTCAGGGTGGTTCTTATAGAAGAGAGAGATGAGAAAAAGAATTAACAGTAGGGGGGGGGTAGGGGGTGTCTATATCTACAGATGTATCCAGCCGGGGTATGTACATATCTAAAAAAACAAATATTTGTTTTATTTGCAGTCGTTAGCTGCGGTGATCCTGGCGCGCCGGCCAATGGCGTCAGGTACGGAGACACATTTACCTATCAGAGCGTTGTAATTCTTGAATGTGACCCTAAGTACAAACTTGTTGGAGACCTCACTAGGACTTGCCAAGCGAATGGACAGTGGTCCAAATCCCAACCCACATGCCAATGTAAGTAGATCATTGATGTTCCTTATTCTGTGAGTGATACGACATTCTTTTTGGAATATTCTTGGGTTGGGCACGCGCGTAATAGAACCAGACTTAGCCTTACAGTCTCTTGGACGGTAAGAGAGAGAGACCAGTTAGGACAAGAAGAGGTGAAACAGGGTTTTAACATGCGTGAGAGGTAACAGGCAATCCTGTCGCTTAAAAGATATTTGTTGTTCAAGTAACAAAAAACTGTAAGCCCCCAAACTACCCACCCCCTCTGAATCTGCCACCTAACCTTCATTAGATAGAAAGAGAACCATTTATTGACCATCTCCGTAATCTGCTCATAGCAACGAGCTGCGGCACATTTCTAACCGGACCAAGCGGGACTGTCACATCGACAAACTATCCTGGAAATTACAACGACAACGAATACTGCACATGGCAGATTCAAGTTCCGGTGAACAAGAAAATTAGACTCGAATTCACTGAATTTAAGACGGAGACTGGGAAAGATTTGTTGATGATCTACGATACAAGTCGCTATGATAGTCCGATTATCGCATTTGACGGAACCACTTACAAACCACCGCCGTTCACCTCATCTGGAAATGTCTTACGAGTTCGATTCATCAGTGATGGAGCCACCAATAGGAAAGGATTTAGTTTCAACTACAAGCAAGTCGGTAAGTACACAATGTTCAGTTAACTTTAATTAGCCGATTAACTATTCTTCTCTTTCTGATCGCTTTCACGAAGGGCTAACGCTCGAAACGTCGACTGTAGAAATCTTCTACGGCAGCCAGTTTACGTTATCAAAACAGGTGATAAAACCAACTGACGTAGCATATTAGTTTATTTAGATGCTAACTCCCCACTTCCTCTTATTTATCTTATGGTTTATGCATATGAGGCTGAATTTAACTTACATCGTAACTGGAGTCGCAGGAGTAATAAGAGGCGGATAGAGATTCGATGCGGTGAAAATTAAACCAACGGAATCGGAAGGCGAGTGCAGATGCCGATTGTGAATCTGCGAAAATTGAATTGCTGGAGGCGTAGGCGATCGGTTGGCCTGAGAACTTGCATTGTGACTGGTTGATTATTCTGCTTCTGCTTGCGACTCCGACAATCTAGTTTTCACCAAAAGAAATGGTGAAGTCTTCTGACTTCTATTCCGTCAAACTTCATTACTCGACATGAGACTCCAATTCTCATCTTTCACAAAGCTGGAAGCGCTTTTAGGACTTCGGACACGATTTCGACTCTGACTCTGAATTAAGGAAAAATCAGCCTATAGAAAGTAAGAGATATTAAAATGTTGGAGTATGAAAATGAATTATGAAAACCATTCCTTAATAAGGATCTTAATGGGGTGACGGCTTTTACAGCTAACGGTTAAAACGTCGGCAAAAAATTGGTCAATCTTTTACGCCAGATGGCTAAAGGTTGACCCCTTTGAGACCTTCCTTAATGTGCTGTGAACGATTGATAAGGAGCTGAATTAATTTTAGCTTGCTTCAAGGGAATATTGTCATCAGACGATGCATTCTTCTCTTACTTAATTCCCTTATTGCACTAGACACAAATTGCGGAGGCACATATGAGGAGGGAAGTGGCACCATCTCGTCCCCAGGCTTCCCTGGCGGTTACGCCGACAATCTTGATTGTATGTGGCTGCTTTATCGCGCCGTGGAATATCCTGAGTTTATCTTCACTGAATTCGAAACGGAAAGTAACTATGATCTAGTGTCTATCTCCAGCGGGAGGTGAGTTGCAGTTATCATACCTCATACCTCAGTTACCCTAATCGTTCTGACGAAGGGCTAACGCTCGAAACGTCAGCTTTTTTACCCTTTACGGTGGCTAATCTACGTTTTCAACCCAGTTATTAACACTAAATTACCTACCGATAGATTCGCTTAGTACCTTGCACTTTGTGCTGTAATGAAAACTTGTCTGAATAAATAAATAGAGTAATGCCAGATCAGTACAACGACAATAACAACAATATCTAATATACTTTTCTTTTGGAGTCATTTGCAACTTTTTCTGGCCCACGGGTAGCCAATGTTAGTCTTAGCAGGCCAGTCTATAAAAATCTAATTACAAACAGTACAATACAACAAGAGGAAAAAGAAACACAAATAACGAATAGTTTATAAAATGTAAAACGAAGGAAAAAATGGAAGCATTTACTTTAGATATTCATTTCAATAATCATCTCACATATCACATTACCTCTTACTTTTCACGTTTGTGATTTTCTGATGTACATCAATAACTGAATCTTCCTCTTGGAGAACGCTGAATAGTATGTTTTGTTTCTTGAATTCCAATGAATTTTTTTGTAGCGCTCTCAAAAACCATGTAATCTCAAGCAAGCTACGAAGGAACTATAACTCTCAATTTGTTTTTTTATTAAACAGGTTTGCCGAAAAGACGTTGACGAACGGATGGGGAGGGCATGCCCTTCCGTCGGGTTCTTTTTACGACGAATCAAATCACTACCTTTGGGTTCGATTTACCACCAACGGCGGAAATGGGGATGGACGATTCCACAAAGGGTGGAGTGGGAAATACCAGAAATACTATCCTTATGTCAACAAGAAGAAGAGAAGAAAGTAATGCGGCAACAGGGGGGGAGGGAGGGGAGGGGGGATACCTCCCTGGCATAATAAAGATGCAAATGCAAGAAAATGATATGTAATACCGAGTGATAATAAAGGTTGAACCAACACATACTCATGTTTCAGTGTTATCCATCATCACGCCTTTGTCAAAAGTTTATTTATAAACTTGCAGGATCTTCAATTTCTTCTCCCAACTGAAAGCGGTACGTTTCTTCGGCGGCCAGTTCTTGGAATAAAGCTGTAACCGTAACCTAAAATCTATCACTTATTCAATTATTTTCTCTGTCGTTACTTGTTACTAATGTACAGAGTCAAGAAAGACGTAAATTTTAACATCGCGCGCTATTTGTAATTTTGCACATGTGTTACAACCTTGCACTCGTGTTACATGAGAATGAACTCGTTTTGAGCCAATCAAACGCGCGTAATTTTTTTCATCTATATGATTAGTATAGGTAACTGTATGATTTCGAGTGCAATTTGATTTTAACAAAAAATAGAACGATCCAGTTGGGCGAGCGCAATTTGTGGTCTTTGAAAAATTTACAAGAGCTTATTTACACCAAATTTCACGAGAAATCATATTGTTACTATTTAATAATTTACATGAAAAACGCATCACAGAAAATCAGGTCGAACTAAATTTTGGCGGGCACGCGCGCTATTTGTAATTTGCACTCATGTTAAAATTTGCACTCGTGTTACATGAAAAAAGATAAGTTTATATCAATCCTTTCTACAAAATAGTATGTTCCGAAACTCGTTTCGCATGGCACGGTTCATGATACCATAAATTACTGGATTAATCCAGGCAGAGAGGGATGAAAATAAAGGGTAAACTGACTTTGCTGAGGAAGGAATTGATACCTGAAAACCAAACTCCAGCATCGACATGAAAATAAAAGGACACCAGGCGATCGAAAATCCAAGTACGGCAGCAAAGATTGCCCGAGAGGATTTCACGTCTTGCGCATTAATTCTTCCATGGTTGTTCGCTCTCTGCAAGGATGGGACAACTACGTTGTTGTGTTGTTTGACAACTCGATAAATGCTGTAATAACAAAAGACGACCACGGACATTAAAACAGCGGAAAAACAAGCAAAGAAGACGAAAGAAATCCTCTCTGAACTTTCACTGTCAAAAGTTGTTCGGCAATACAAACTGTTGGGGATCCATCGAAATTTTATTGGTGCAGTAACAACGAAAATCAGTAATTCAATACAGAGGATAATCCAGACCCCAAGTAATGAAGTTACAGTTTTCCTGTGAGTGAATAACAACGAGTATTTATTTGGTTTCACGACGCAGAAGTATCGATTTAGCGAGGCTAAAGTCAGAATGGAGAGTGACACTTGAACCCAATATTGTACGACAAAACCAGTTAGTTGACAGAAGTGGTGTCCGAAAAACCATTTTCGCAGTCCTGAAGCGGTCGCTTGGAAAGGAAAGCTTAATATAGCCATCATCATGTCGGCCAATGCGAGCGATACCACATAGAAATTCGTAATAGTGCGCAGTCTCCTGTTTCTGTACAACGCGTAAATAATGAACATGTTCCCGGTGAGTGAAAAGATCGTTGCATGAACTAGAATAACAGTGTGAATGACAACTGCCACCGTGCCTCTAGTGTCCTCTTCCGCAGCCATTTTTCCTCAGAAGGTTTCGACAATTTTGGCTAAGCCTAAAAAAGGAATTTAACCTTGTGAAATCACTGGTTTTGCTGTTGAATTATTCGAAAGAGGGTTTCGACAGTGTTGGCTAAGCCTAAAAAAGGAATTTAACCTTGTTAAATCACAAATGATGTTGCTGTTGAATTTTTCGAAAATTTAACATATGTTGCGATGTAACTTTATAGCACTGTGTAAATTCTGCTCATACAGTACACCTGCTAATAGAATTTTAACAGCCTTGACACTTTCAATGTCCTTTTTGTTTACTCCGTTGTTCAGTAACATTTGGCGATCTAGCTTATCACAAACGAGAGAAAATAGTCACTCTTCTTTGTCTGGCGGTTATTGACTTCTTCGACAATCTCAAGTTATGTCCTAAATGAACTTTTCATGAACCGCCACAAATGTAACATTACAATAAGTGATTGTTAACAAATAGCAACTAGAAGGGCATTAAACCCAATCGGCGATGTTCTTCAGATTAAAAACCACAAATCAGTCATTTTACCAATCAGTCATTGATTTGCATAAAATAAATGAGACAGAAAAAATAAGAGGAAGTCTTCCTCGATAAATGTCTTTCGATGTTTACATTACATTCGCACGTCAACAAAGTTTCAGATAGCAAGTTTATTAGAATTCTGCTTTGATCCAAGTTTTTAATTAAAGGATGAGATTGTTGAATCCCCGATCAGTCTGGCGCTGACCCCTTTTATCTTATCATCGGTGATCGAAAGGTTCCCTTGGCAGTGAGACAACAAACAAAATTTAGTCATGAAACAAATGAAACAATTAAATAGTCAGGTACATTTGTTTCTTATGTAAGATAAAGGCCCAGGATTGAAAACGTGCATGATCTGCGGCCAAATTTTGTTCTTAAAAGACCATATGAAAATTTCGGAAATAAAGGGTAATTAACGAGCTCGAGGTACATAGATTATCTTCAAATCACCGTTAACTTTCGTGCAAAAATTACATCTGAGCCCGTAAATATCACGAAATGTTCCGAGCCTCTCTTAAGACCCCAAGAAAGGAATCATTTCACTTGCAATCTGAATGCACGCAACCACTACATCATAAGAACATAAAAAACTACCTAACCTATTCTGTAGACTACAAATTGCCGCAAATGACCTCAAGCCGTCATTTTTTGAGGATTGCAGAATTGAAAGCCCCTTTTGAAATCGAATCAGATATTTCTGATTGATAATCTATGGAGTTTCCTATCAGTGTTTGTTTTATTTCCTTCTCGTGACTTTATTTATTCACCGACAAACTTTAAGCTCGAAGGGTGTAGCCCCGATTTCGCTTGCTTAGCTCGTCTTAGAGGGTGGTGCGTAATCCGTATACGTGCCTTTGCATTACTCTTGTTCAGACGACGACTAAGTACGTGTTTTCAGGATTTGCACCTCACTTTTTTCGCGGCAAATGTCGTGGCAGATCACGACGTCATCAAGGAGGAATGGTAACGAGTGACGCAAGGAGGATCGAGCAAAAAGGCAGAAATATTGGCGATGGTGCATCAAAATGCATAGATTTCTACAGAAGGGAAGGGCGTGAGGAAAAAAGCAGAGATCATATAAACAGCATTGTAACTTGGGAGAAAAAAAACAGGTCGAAAAATTTGTTAGGTACAAAAGAAATCAAGACCTTCATGGAGAGTGAGAGAGGATTAACGAACGAGACACTTGCGGTAGTCTAGAGCTTTACTTGGCTGGATGTCAGATCACAAACGTTGTATAGTGAGCTCTTCTCTGGAAAACGAACAATTGAACGGAAGAACAGATGTTTTAAGGAGTCGCTGAGCTTAGCTAGAAAGTCATTCAAAACAAAAACAGAGGCCGTTTTTGATTACGAAAGAGAGACGCTTTAACATCAAACGACGAAGCAGAGCGTTCTATGCGACCTAGACCGAAGCTTTCAACCAGGAAGTGAATGCTGTTGACAGGTCAGGACATTATATCTTGAACCTACTCCAACTCTGTAAACTCGGTTTTGTCTTTTGAATTGTTACAATTGTTAAGAACTGTTCCTCTTTTCAAGAAAGTGTCGTGGCCGTAATCAAATATATCAGTAGGAAAAGTTTTCCTATCGTTCGTTTACAGCCTTATATTAGGATCTGCCGGGATTGCGATCCTTCTGTTCCCTTTTCTTTTCTCTTCTATAGCTTCTTTATTTATGAATTGGCCACTTATTCATAGACGTAAAAGCAATCAAGAGATTTCTACCGAAAAACTGGGAAAAATGGGGAAAAAAAAGAACTGGTGCATAGGACCCTCATTTTCGGTATAAAAAGTTTGATGAATCATTACTCATCCATCAATCTATGATATCCGATGGCTTATTTTCGCGCTCTTTACAGCCTCTTCGAGGCATTTCTCTAACAACGATTTAGACGATTTAAACTTGGGAAGCGACAGTTAAATTTGGTTTACTCCTATAATGCTCTATGTAGGGACGGCAACACATGATCTGACATGACTCTGATCAGGGACAGTCTCATTCATCACGGGGGGGGGTAGGGGGAGATTTTTGGGGTGTATCACTTAGTTTTTTTCAGGGGGAACAGAGGTGGAAGGGTCATTCGTCCTTAACACAGTTCAAAGGAATGACGATTAAGGAATGACTGCTGTTGAGGGGGTATCACTAGAATACTACACAGCCTTATGGAGGGGATTAGGGTAATTTAATTGTGAAACGACCAAAATCCACCGATCCCTTACCCCCTTAGGGAGGCTTTGAAAATTTGCCTTTAAAATTAAGGAGGCTGGAAAGGGTTTTTAGATGCACGCGTGCGCGTGCGCGTGAGAGACAAATAACAATGGAAACTGTTTATTGATACACAGTAATCTCGGAGGAAATTGTTTAAGTGTTTTTTTTTTATTTCATTTGGCAGTTAAACAATCGCATTTTTTTACATTGAATATTAACAATTGCTGTCGATATTACATGGCCTAGTATTTTGCACGCGTCACTTTACTCTAAATATGTTATGGACTGCCAACTTTCTTACAGTCAACCATCTAAAACTTAAGCTTCCTCGTCGAATTCCTTATTTACCAGAGTGTCACAATTTATTTTTCATTTGTGGATGAATATTCTTTAACAATTTACAATATACCCTAGCCACTTCTTTTAACGTCCAGAATACTTCGAGATTCCGTGTATTTAGATGAAGTTACTTTACAAAGTCCTTCTTGAATCCCTCGTCGTTGTCTTTAACATCATCTTTAGGGTTGAAACGATCGTCGAAAAAACGAGAGAAAAATTCTCTTCTAAGTGTGTTACACTCTTTGTAACAGTTTTCCCTTGTCTCAGTACAATTATTAGCGCACAGTTGATCATCACAGTCGTCCAGACATTGTTTTGATACGCTGGTACAGTCAGTCACACACTGAGATGACTTGGAGGACACAAAATGTATGATGAAAATCGCGGCAATAAAGACTGTAAGTTTACAATTCGCCATGATCTGAAACAACACTTCACAGATTAGCATAACTGTTCGAGCTTCACTTCGCTTGTTCCAGGATTTCATTTAGTAAAACAGGGCGAAATATTGAACGGAGCGACGACGCCACCCAAACCTCCCATCTCATGCCTTTTCGCCCGCCGCTAATATCGCGCCGTTTATTATTAAGCCCCGTTTTAATTTGTTGGCGACGACTGATCCCCACTCCGTTCTCCCTGAAAACCACGTGATCCTCCCATTTTCAATCACGCATGTATTTTTAAATGATACGTGTAAACTTTGAGTGTATTCAATCTGTAAATTTTGTCTCTCTTCTAAGCTTATTATAATGGAAGGTTGGATATGATAAATCCAAAATCAAAATCTAGGCAGAATCTGGTGCAGCTGCCGTGATTTGGATCTTAACCGCGAACTTGAATCTCTACGCGCTATAAAATCTGACAAGCCCACTGCGTTTAGACCCAAGCGAAATGCATTCTGGTAAAAGCGTCAGTTCACTCTACTCGAGACGAAATGCATCCTGGTAGAAAGATCATGTCGGTGTTTATTTTGAGATTATGCATAACAATTTGTTAGAGTTTTTATCAGTATCTGCTGCTCAGTATCTTTTATCAGTATCTTCGTACTCCCCCGAAATTAATAGACGTACGAATCGTGTCTGAAAGTGTTCTTATTTTTGTCCCACATTCAAGGACGTTCGAGTTGGATAAGGCGAAATTCACCAGCAGCCGATTACAATCGATAGAAATCCATCAATTTACTAGAGAAGACTTTATCCACAGACATCAGTTGATATCAATTGATCGACTGATCACCGATTATCGGCGTTCAGGTCATGGTCAGGTGATCAGGTTGGAAGCACAGTTTGAGTGATTATCTTTTTAGTTTCGCCACAATTCACATGTTTAAATACGAAATGATAAGCTTATTGTTGGCCGATGATGTCCGCTCCTCCTTTAGCGGCGACCAATTCAAAGGAAGCCAAATTAACAATATCTTAAACCCCTCAGAGAAACACATTTTATGGACATTTTCATTTGAATCGCCAAGCAGGTCCTTAAACTCTTCACAAAAACTGACGTCCATTTTCCGCGCAAAGCAGATGATGTAACATTGGATAAGAGTAGATTATAGAGGTATGTTAAAAAACCTAAAACTCGCCTCCACGTTCGATTTAATTCAAAGATAAAAGGCATAACAAACAAAGCATTAAATAACAAGTGAAAGCAAAAGATAAAACCTCAGGCGCATTCACGCAGAAATAAAATAAATTATCATAATTACCTTGGCGAGTTTGAAAACGCGGAAAATAACAAAACAAAGCAAATGCCAGCGCAAGTGCCAAAAATACCAGCTTTACTTTCATCCCGATTTCAAGCTCCCAAATTAAAAAGAATTTTTTCTCCTTTTCCAAAGTCTGATATCAAGTCCGAGCCACGAATGATCATCAAGCATTGAATAAAACAAATGGCCAGAACAGCGGCCAGAACAATAGAGTCTACATTAGATACTCCACGACTGGTTAAAATAAACTAAACAGGCACCAGATCGGCTTGCTTTCGCTTACATCAGGTTGAAGAACGACATCACTTGGTACTAATTTCTAAAATAGCTGGTTACTTACCGATTACCGTGTTTTGTCAAGAACGGAACTTCTTTATCTTTAATTACTTCGCTCGCCTCGATCTGCTGAATGAATTGTTATCAGACAACCGTTTGTTTTATAGCTGCAGGATTAATTTATGTCAGTTCTTGACAAGAAGAGCACCATCTGCTGGGAAATAGATCTTTGTAAAGTGTCGCCACAATTATTTATGGAGTATTTTACCGCAGTTAATGGCAGCTTTTGGAAAAAACACTTAACCACGCTTTGTCATGTAATTATGCTTGAATGCGTACGTACGTGCAATTTATTTTGTGCTATTTGATTAACTCGCATATGTTAACTTAATGTCCTTAATGCCTCTTTTCCTCTGAATTAAGTAGCAATTTCACTCAACCCCTAACATGGCCAATTTGCCCACCTCACGGCAGGTCGCTCCCGAGAGAAATTACGACGATCTTAATTCCGTTCGTCAAAACAAACCCAATTTATAAAATCGGTTTGGTTAAATGTATGAAGAAAACGAAAGAAGGCAGATCGTTCTAATAATCACATGTAGAAGTACTGTGTTCATTTAGTCATTCAGCTGCTCAAAAAACCTTGTCATTTATTTCGTAATTAACTGAAACCTATTTTTACTCGTTCGTATATTAGCATAAAAGTTCACGGCAATGCTATGTCTACAAAAATACGTTCCAAAATACTTCCTGACATGAACGGTTCAGCGGCGACCGCCTTAAAAATAAACATTAAACCGTTACAAAAACTTAGAAAATGTGTGTTATTTCAAGGTTTTATCCCACCTATCGTGAACTCTAGTCTAATACAGCTGCCTCGATTCATTCAAAGAGGGCGGGGGTGTTGACGACCGAAGGATCTCTTCCTCCGCTATTGTGCGTGACAGCAGGAAAGATCAGGCGTGGTAATTGCTTAACCACTTGTAATCTGGATTAGTTGGCATCAAGAACAGTTTCAAACTACAAAATATTTCAAGTTTGACTTTAACTTGTCTAGAAATAACGATCATTGACGCGTACAACACGTTTGTCCTATTCCCGATTGGTTTCTGCGCCACAGAATGATAAAAAATGTCATGAGACTAGTTTGGTTGTTCATAACCTTCACCGACCATTTTGCCGACTCATTTCTGCTTTTTACTCAGGAAAATCAAATCGTCTTCCGCACAACTTCACTTTCCAAGCCATTTGTGGGGGAAAAGGTCAAATTTCAAGGTTATGGACTCTTACGCTGCTCAGTCTGTAAATTGCCCTTTATCAAATCCCACGTAGTCGTCTCCCATTTCATTACAAAAAAAAGAACAAAAACAGAACAAAACAAAACAAAATAATAGAATGAGCTAAGGTTAAAATCGGCGCCCCAGTTGGTGCAGTTTTAGAACTCTTCACTCAGGGTTATTGAATATCAGTTTTAGGGGATACGTTAAAAGGTTTTTGCCTGTCAATTACTTCAAAATGATTCTAATGTCTCGAGAGGTGAAATTGAGTATGTTTTTGATGGAAACAATCTGGCAACCATATTAGCGATAATTTTCTAAGCCTGGTGCGTTGTGTTTTCTTTTTTACTTTTAATTTGAGGTATACGAGTCTCATCTGAGTAAAATAATAACCTCGCGAGACAGATGAATAAAGTCAGAAATGTAAGCGGGAAGTCTACAAGTTCACTAGACTCACGCCCACGCATGTACTAACGGGAAAAGAAAACTATATCCTTCCGCTGGAACCTATCTAAGAAAACACCGACAATAAAAAAAAATAAGAAAAGGGAAATTAAGAAGTGTTATATCTTCTCGTTTTCCTAGAGCCTATTTTTTCCCGCCGCTTTCCCGTATGTGAAAGGAAACTGGTTGGCTGGGTAAAAAAAGAGAAACAAACAAACAAAAAATCAAAGCGAAAAAAGAAATGATAACAAAAGAAAAATGAAAACCGACCAAGGTGGTTGATCGCTTGAAGGTGGAGCGGGGGAGTTTGGTGGGAAGCAATTTTTTTTAAGCCTATCGTCGCTTATGTTCCTTAAGTTTGTGGCGTTGATAAGGTCTTCTTAAATACCTTCACACAAGCTCTTTTTCCAGTTCAAAGGCTTTTTTGTAGGATTTTGTTTTGTTTTCGCCCACAATGAAACTTTGCTTATCAGACAGTCCATCTGCGACTTTTTCACATATTATTATTAATTAATACCGGCCGACGGTAAACGAATTATGACGAAAAGCAAGACGACAATGCATATATCTTTTAAGCATCAATTCCCTGCATTAGGAACATAAAATGAAACACACTACGCGCAAGGGAAGTTTGCGGTCAATAGGCGCTATAAATCAAAATCACGTCAAAGCAAGTCGTGACATTTGCCTTGGTAGAATTTTGAATCCTTATTATTTTTTAAAGTATTGTAAAGGATGCAATTGGCTTACACTGACATTTTACATAGACGCAAGTGCAGGTTCAGTTTAAGGTCCTGAATAAAACGTTTCCTATGGCCCCTTTTTTTTCGAAGACATTTAGTTTCGCAAAATATAAGAATTGGCACGCGTCTAAAGATTTCATTTTGGCGATTTTGAAGGAAACTTAATTCGCAAATAAATTTTTTTTTTCACTACAGCGTGTAATTTAACAATGGGAACGATTCTAGGTATCGGTCTCAGGTACTGGCCAGATGGCTTATTTTGCCCCACTAAAATATTGTTTTATATGCAGCATTAACTGTACTTCTTGGGTATCAGAACAACTGAAACGCTTTTGAAAAGTGAAAAGATTTTAATTTTACAGTATCGTTTGCATGGAATTTAAGTGGTTAACAACCAAATTAACAACATGGCCGATTTTTTTTTACCAAAGTTCAATGTATTTGAATTGTAGATTTAAGTTTATGTCAAAATTAAACGTAAGGATATGAAATGAAGTGCAAATTCGTGTCGTTAATTTTCGCGAATTTTATTCTTTTTTTGCAGGACTTTAATTTCGCGATATCATAAAAATTCCCGCAAAATCGCATAATGATAAAATATGGATATCTGGCTTAGTGTTTTTCTCTTTTCGATTACCACCGCGATTGGAATTTTCCTTTCAAAAGATATTTGTAATATGCTTTTGAAAACGACTTCTCAGTCAGAAAACTGTTATCATCGCAGCTTGTGTTTATCCTTAGACCACAGATGTACCAATTGCTTAGTTTGTAAATGGTAGATATCTAGTAAGCTTATCTGACTGTTGAATATTTGTTCTTTGAAAAGTACAAACGCATAAAAGGAGTTTGAGACAATTCTACATTTGCGACATTTCTACATATTGTCGTTCCTAATGATCGGTAGGTCGTTAGAAGTCGGTGAGTGTTTCGTCGAATTTAATCGTCATCGTTGTTTTTCTTGACAAAGACACACCCTTGTTATTTCCTTTCGTCGCATGGGTTGTTTTGCGTTTTAGTAAACAACTTGCGATCATGTTGATTGGGTTATAGTGGTGGCAGTTTTTCTTTTTTTGCGATGTCCGATTGTAGGACGACTCGTCTAATTGCTTTTGTTTTCCTGTAACCTTCCGTATATAATGTTTACTCTACTACTTGTCAAGTAATTTAGTAGAGGAAGCTTTCCGTCCTCTTTTGGTTCTCTGATAAACCAAATTTTGGAGATATGTTCGATTA